AGGAAAGGGAAGGAAGGAAGGAACGAAGGAAGGAACGAAGGAAGGAAATAGAAAGAAAGAAAAAAGATGATAGATAGATAGATAGATAGATAGAAAGATAGATAGGGAAAAAACACAAAATAAGAGTTGGAAAAGAACTTGGAGATCTTAGTCCAACGCCCTGCTCAAGCAGGAAACCCTATAGCATTTTAGATGAATGGTGGTCCAAAAAGAAAGACAGAGGAAAAGAGAAAGAGAGATAGAGAAGGAGGGAGGAAGATGGAAGGATAAATGGATGGGAGGGAGAGAAAGAACATGGAAGGAGGGAGAAAGGAAAAGATGGATGGATGGTAAGGAAGGACAGACGGACAGAAAGACGGACTGGAGAGGGCTGAGGCAAGGGGGCTGAAAACAGGGGGGGGGGGGTGGCCCATCCTGGCCCAGCCAATTGACCTTGTAGTCCTTCCCCTCCCCCACCCCTCCCCCTCGGCAGTGGCTGCAGAGGAAGGAAGGAAAAGAGAGAGATGCAGCCAGCCTATCCGGGTCGCTCTGTCCTCTTATCACCTCCCCAAACCAAACAGCAGCTGGGCCAGCCCTGCCCACCAAAGCCGAGAGCTGCGGAGAGCGGGGGGGGTTCTCCCACTGCAGGAAGAAGAAACCAAACCAAACCCAAGAACAGGAACAGGGGGAGGAAGCCGGGTTCGCGTGCTTGTGTGTGTGTGTGTGTGTGTGTGTGTGAGAGAGAGAGAGAGAGGGAGGGAGGGAGAGACAGTCTCTTTCTTGGCAACCCTCCTGCCTGGCTTGTTCCGGGTGCAAAAATGGAGGGTGGAGGAGAGGCCAAGGGGCGTCTGTCTTCCTTCTGCCGGGAGGGCAGCGAACAGCGGCAGACAAGCAGGTGCACGAGGGAGAGAGAGAGAGAGAGATGGAGGGAGGGAGGGCAAGGCAGCTGGCGTGGCGGTCACATGGCCGTGCGGGTGGGGGTGCTGGGCTGCTTCAACCGCAGCGTCTTGCATAGCCAGCCGGCAAAATCCACCTCTTCCACCTCGGCGCGCTTGATGAAGGTGTGATTCTGGAAAGCAAACGGTAGAAAGGGGTGGGGGGAAGAAAGTTAGCTAGCAGCCTAGACGTTGTTGTACGGACAGGAAGCGGTGGCCTCGCCGAGGGAAACCAGGGTCAGGGGGAAACCACCGGGGTCGGATTTTTCGAGCCTTTTCGTGAAAGGTGTGGAGCCGAGGTATCCAAAGCGTGGCCCCTTTAAGACTTGTGGACTTCAACTCCCAGAATTCCGCTGGCTGGGGAATTCTGGGAGTTGGAAGTCCACAAGTCTTCAAGGGGCCGCGCTTGGGAGACCTGCGGGTGTGGGGCTTTTGAAAAAGGGCACAAAGAATGTCCGTCGCTGTACAGGTTATCCTCAATTTACAACTGACCGTCTGAAGTTACAAAAAAAAAACAAAAAAACACCCAACTACTAACGGCCAGCCCTTTGCACTTATGACCAACCACAGGATTATCAACAAAATTTAGAGGCTTGGCAAAGTGGTGTGTGTGTGTGTGTGTGTGTGTCTGTGTGTGTGTGTGTGTGTTTACAGCAAGTGCAGCGTCCCAGGATTGTGTGACGGTTCTGTGACCTTCCCAGTTGGCTCCCGACAATGGGACAATCTGGACTCACTTTAACGACCGTGCAATTTACTTAACAACAACACCGATTTTCTTAACCACGGTGGCAAAAAAAAAATAAAAAGTCCCCCTTTTTTTCTCCCAAGAGGCAACGTGAGTTTCTTTTTGGGGGTTCTTTTTCCTCCGAAAAGGTTTCGCTTCTCATCTGAGAAGTTTCTTCAGGACTGAAGAAGAAGAAAAAAAAACTTCTCGGATGAGAAGCGAAACTTTTTCAAAGTAGTAAACCAAAAAAAAAAAAAAAGAAAAAAGGCCACTTGCCCTTTTGGTTAAAAGCACTTCTGTGACAACTGTGGCCTAGATGACGGAGGGTCTCCGTACAGACGAGCAAAAAAGATTGTAAAATCAGCAGTCGCTCGTTGAATCTGAGCGCAGAGAAGAGCAACCAAGAGGGGACTGGAGGCTAAAACATATGAAAGAACAGTTGCTGGAATGGGGGGGGGTTTGTCTAGTTTAATGACAAGAAGAACCAGGGGAGACATGATTAACCGTGTTACAGTATCTCAGGGGCTTCCCCAAAGAAGAGGGAGTCAAGCTATTCTCCAAAGCATCCAAAGGCAAAACAAGACGCAACGGGTAGAAACTCATCACGGAGAATTAAGGAGACACTTTCTAACAAAGAGGACAATTAACCAGTGGAACTGCTGGCCACCAGAAGCTGTGGATGCTCCGTCACTGGAGGCTTTTTAAGAGAGACTGGACAGCCGGTTGTCTGGTATGGTATAAGGTCTCCTGCTTGAGCAGGGGGCTGGACTAGAAGACCTCTGAGGTCCCTTCCAAGTCTTGTTATTCTATTTCAGTCTAACCACCGTGCTTTGCCGTGGAAATTCTGGTCCCAAGTGTAGTCTAAGTAGAGGGCCGTCTGTAAATTTGGGGGAGTCCTGCCTAGATTGTGGGTCCACAAAACCGCTGAGGAGTCTGTGGCCTTACAGCACAACAACCACACTTAGCATTGGAAGAGACACGGGGTTCTTTGACCTTTACGCCAACCAGGATCAAGTAGCAAAAGGCACATTTTAATTTCCTCTATTTAATAATAATAATAATAATAATAATAATAATAATAATAATAATGGGGAGGGCTTCAAGAGGAATAAAAAATGGACATTTGAATTATTATTTTTTTAACTCCTTAAAATTCCACACACGCATTGACCCATCTTGAACGTACAGGTCGGCCTCGGCTTACGACTGTTTGTTTAGTGACTGCTCCAAGTTACGACGGCACTGAAAAGTGACTTACGGCTGAATGTTTTGCACACTTACGACCTTTTGTAGCACCCCTTTGTGGTCAAAATTCAAGCGCTTGGCAACCGGTTCAAACTTATGACCGTTGCCAAGGTCAAAGGATCCCCCCTTTTCTGAGAAGCAAAGCCAAGGGGGGGGGGGAAAGCCAGATTCACTTAACAACCGGCTTACTAATTTATCAACGGCGGCGACTCGCTCAACAACAGTGGCAAGAAAGGCCGTAAAAAAGGGGGGGGGCAAACTCACTTAACAAAGGTCTCTCACTTAAGAGCAGAAATCTGGGGCTCAATTGGTGGTCTTAAGTCCATTTAGGGTGGTCTTAAGTCCATTTAGGGTGGTCTTAAGTCCATTTAGGGTGGTCTTAAGTCAGGGACTGCCTGTATTTTCATTTAGGGTGGTCTTAAGTCAGGGACTGCCTGTATTTTCATTTAGGGTGGAATCCTGCCCAATACTTCCCCCGTCATTAATCTGGTTCTCTTCTGATAAGTTTGTCAACGGAGGGAAATCCCCCAACTGGAAGGCCGCTCTGTCGAGCTTCTGCTCCTTGTACATAGCGGAGACCCCTCCTTCAATGCACACGTGGCTTCAGAAGGAACTCAAACCCACCCTGCTGTTTTGCATCACGTTGTGTGTGTCACGGGTGCTTATTCACGACTTGGTACTCTACGGACCGATATTTGGAGTAAGAAATGCAAATGGAGAAGGAGGGGGGGAAAAAGGTGGGGGGGAGATTATCTCAGCAGCGCAGAGCTGGATACAATTCTCCTGTCTGGAGATAAGCGGAGAGACAAGTCCTTATGCGGAGCCCGCTTTCTGTTTCTAGAAAAAAGCCGAGTTTTTCAGGGTTGGCGGTTATTAAGATACGTGGACTTCGACTCCCAGAATTCCTCAGCCAGCGTGAGGAGGAATTCTGGGAGCTGAAGTCCATGCATCTTAACACGGGAGCTGGAAGCCCCCACCCATCTTCCCCCCGATTCTTGAGAGTTGAAGTTCACACGTCTTAAAACGGCCGAGGAGGAGAAACGTGGATGCAGAAACTCATCCTCGGTTTCCCAGTGGATTTTCCCTCTTCCTGAAGTCTTTTAAGGATTTGTGTTTTGGGCCAGGGGAATTCAGGGGAAGTGTGGGAAGGCCCTACCGTACTGGTGGTATGGGAACACCCTGGCCACGGGGGGATAACAGAGTAACTGAAGTTGGAAGGGACCTTGGAGGCTTTCTAGTCCAACCCTCTGCTTCCAGAAAAATGGTTGTCCAATCTCTTCTTAAAAACTTCCCGTGTTGGAGCATTTATGGAGGCAAGGTGTTCCACTGGCTTTATTGTCCTCCCTGTCAGAAAATTTCTCCTTAGCTCCAGGTTGCTTTTCTCTCCTTGGTTAGTTTCCATCCGTTGCTTCTTGGCCTCCTGCCTTCGGGCGCTCTGGAAAACAGGTTATTCCCCCTCCTCTCTGTGACAGCCTCCCCCCCAGATATGAGAACGTGGCTATCGTGTCGCCCCCTCGTCCTTCTTTTCACGAAATGCAAAGGGACACGCGAGGACTCCAGCTCCTGGGTTTTTTGTGGGAGGACCCTAGAGCTCCTCAGCCTGAGACCACCTCCTCCTTCTCTGCCACAAATGAGGTCTGGACGGAAAGTACACTCTACCCAATTCGGGGCTTTTCCCTGGACAATCTGCACAATCGCTGCGCGATTCTCAGGGCTTTTCGCACTTGGAACCCCTACCCTCAAGGGGAGGGCTGCAATTCAGGGGTGGTGTTTGGGTGAACCAGTAGTAAAAAAAAACAGCCAGAACAAGAATTTCTTTCTTTCTTTCTTTCTTTCTTTCTTTCTTTCTTTCTTTCTTT